TAAATTCACCAGCCCCAGGGAAATCCATCCATGCCGCTTTACAGTGGCCCACCAACATCCCAAGGCACCAGCACTGAGCACCCAAAGGGACCTGAGGTCCCACTCAGGCCTGCCCAAAACCCCCTGACTCCTAAGACCCCACACGCCCCTGCTGACCTGCGCTGTGGCCATGTGCACCCTCCACACACCAATCCTTGGGACATCCTCGTGAGTTGCTCTCTACAGGGCTCGGACACCAGGCAAGGAAAAAGTAGGAGCGAGGTCATCAGTGGAGGATGCCAGTGCTGCCCCCAAGTAACAAACCCACCTGGGCCCAAACCCCCCAGCCCCAGGCCATGAAGGCCTTCCTCTCGTACGAACCCTCCATGGAGATCCCCAGGGAACACGTTGCACCACCCACAGGGTCCTTGGGTGACTGCCAAGTCTCCCCAGCAGCCCCGGTCCCCTCGGGATCTGCACGTGCCACTCACCTGTGTTGGGGCCAAGGCCCCTTCGCACACCAACGCCGCTGCTCACCCGCATGCTGCACCGCACCGGGACCTCATCGGGAGGGACACTCACCCCAGGTTGGCCACTGAGCAAAGGGAAAGGAGGGGCAAGGCCATCAGCAGGTGCCCGTGGGACACACACCCCCAGGGAACAAGCCCTCCCACCCAACAACATGCCAATGGCCCAGGACCTCCGTCAGTCCTCTGCTGGGGAGGACTCCAGCCAGACACCCCTCAATGCTGCAGTCACAGCTTCATAAAAGTGTCCCCAGGGGCCTCCCAGCTCTCTCAAGGAGGATGAGCCCTTTAGCCTTCCCCTGGGGCTCCTAACCTCTGCCACAGCACAGAGCCCCCCACACACTGACCATGGGGTGCTCCCCTTCACCACTGCATCTTCTGGAGTTGCTTCCCACCAAGTGCTCTGTTCCAGGGAGCGCAAAGCGGGAGAGAAGGTGTCAGCAGCTGCTCCCACCACCCATGGCCTCCACTGTGTCCGCAGGCTCCCTCTGCCTCAGGCAAGCGCAGGGCCCCTCTGCTGTCCCCATCCATACTGGGTCAACACATGGGGGTTCCTCTGCCAATACTGGCCCTGCAGACCGGAACACAGAGCTTCTTTTCACCCCAGCCAACATTTACCATGGCATCAGCTATTGTCACCTCATGACAACGGCAACAGGGGCATCGGAGCATCTCTCCCACCACAGGAGGCCAAGCCAGGTCCATACTCTTAGCTGCACAGCTTATAGCTTCACCTGGTTTACCTCTGCAACCGGTCCTTTAGTGTGGTCCCTGCTCTACCAGGGTGACTGTTAACACAGCGACACAAACAGGCACTGAGCTGGCATCATTTCTTTTATTAAAGTCTTCCCTGCTTTTAAAAAAAGGTTACAAGATGCGTGTTTCACAGGAGAAATGACTGGTGGCCAATTTGTTCATTTAATATCTGAACCCATGCAGAAAGAGTGGACGCCCTACCGTGGTGGCACACAGCAGCTGAAGAGCACCACAAAATATACACAGACACACACACGGTCATGGACATGGCAGCACACGACACTGAGAATCACAGCACAAGCTTGCTTGAGAGTTTTCAGAATTCAAGTGTATATTTAAGGGAAAAAAAAAATAAAACCCTGATTTCTTTCTGAAATGGAGCATGTGGAATAGCAGAGACTGTTCTGCTACAACGTGCCTCCAGTCCTCCTTTGTTCAGCACTCATGGAAATACACAAATGTTACTAGTCCTTTTTCACTAGTGAAGCTACGCATTGATGGCTGAATCTGAGCACATTACTTCGGTTGTGTCAGAACAGAATGAGACCAGTTTCTCTTGTCTTCATGCTGCTTTCCCATTTTTCATTTCTTTCCAAAGTCCCAGGCGAGTGGTGCTGAGGTGAATGTCTTTAAGGTCTTTCTCCAAAAATCCAGTGTAGCTTTTGTACAAGAATCTGTTGAAGGCAAACAACCAGGAACATTATCAGAAAGAGAGCAAAAAGTGCAGAATTCTGCAGCTTATATGAAAAAGAGCATCTTTACTTACTGTCACAGCATGAAAAAAAATCAATGTTAAATTAGCAGCATATAACATTCCTCAGGTCAACAGATTTTCAAATACTATTGAAAGAGCTCAGGCTGATCCAAGTATTGCAGCAGGCACATGAATTCCTGTCCTCCAAAACTTCCCTATTTCAACACATAAGCCATAAAATTCAGATGTGGACTTTGCCTAGGGAATTTTGCTGTGTGGTTGAGCGGGGTTTCTGCAGCTTTAGAGAGGGGTGGCAGCTCCCTACCTGAGCCTGCTACGGCTCCCGCTCCGACGACACGTCTCCTTCTGCTCCGCTGCTTGCGCTGGGATCGTCCTTGCTCCGGGGGGCATTTCTTTCTCGACTGGATTCAGAGGGCACCTTGGTTCTGGTCTTCTCTTTTCTTTGTTGTTGTTTTTCAAGTTTCGTCAGCTATTCATAAGACAAGGGGAAGGACAAAATGCTTCATGGAATAGAACAAAGTATTTCTGAAAGACCCTATAATTGGGCATTTGTAGAAAAACAGCAACTCAGACTCCCAATACATAGCTGAATCGAAACAGATTAAAAAAGCCCAAGGCTTCAACTTTCACATATCTGGCAAGACAGTGAACTGTTACAAAATAGAATGATCATTCCCCAAGCATCAAGGGGAAGTGCCCTTATTCAGAGGGCTACTCTCTGCATTTCAGAGCTCTTTCTACCTCACACAACCCGCCAGAGAGGCCCTTCACAGTTCAAATGCTCTATCACAGAGACAAGAAACATGGAATACCAAACCGATAAATTCCTAACTAGCTTACATATAGTCTTAAGTTTGCATATGATGGAAGGAAGCACTAAGCAGACACATCTCTTACCCAGGGACAATTCTGCAATCATATCCATAACCAGATCAGACTTACTTGTCTCTACCATCAGCCAAAAAGGTTATCAGCAAATTGCTCTCTGCACAGCAGTTCCTATAGCCTCTCCAAGGGCATTTCCAGCACCATTCTCCTGTGACAATCCACTGTATTTTCAGGGAAGGAAAGGACACCAGTTGCCACGAGACTAGCTTTCTACAAGTCAGCAGCAGATGCATGAGCTTTTTTCTTAATCCTAATTGGGGATGCTGTTGTTGGACCAGGAATGCAGCTGGTGGTATGATTTCTACAGGCCCTCTCCTCATCCATGAGAATTAAATACTATTCAGTATTCTCTAAATGAATGCACTTAAATGTCAAAAAGTACCCGACATGTCTTCACAGATTAAGGCTAGAAAGTACAGTGCCTGTGATTTGTACAAGAATATTAACACAAATCCACTTTTTTGGTGTGTCATAACACAGAATGAAATGAAATACCCAATTTACCCTCAAAGACAACTCGTTACAGTACACTTCATAATCAAATTTTCCATACTGAAGTTACACAGGCAGCCAATTTGCCTACAATCCTGGGAAGTGTCTTCTATTTTTGTTCTGTTCTTGTCAAAAGAAAAAAAAATTATTGCTGGTATGAATCCTACAGTCTTGCTGCTAAGTGCCCAGCATTTCCCCAATGAAATGCAATCACTATCATCAAGTCACAGCATCCTTATATGGACCCTGTGCCAATTTGGGCCTTAGTGTTTCCACTTTTCTTTACCCAGTTTATAATCCATGGCTTTCATTTGTCTCACCGACAAAACTCTTAGCATGACAAACTCGCAAAAAGGTGCATTGACAGCTCAGTTAAGTGTCATCTGTTCCTTCTTTTTCTGTTATTCCATTCACATACCCTCAAAAACTCTAGGAGATTACAAGTCTTCAGAAGAGACCCAGCAATCAGCAAGTACCAACAGTGCAAGAGCTTCTTTTCACTTTATACTTCAAAATCATTTACTATTCAATATGTCCAAAACAGAAGGCAGCAGTTTACAACAAATCAAACTGCAGTAGCTACTGATGCTCACTGAGATTTCATGAGCAACTCAAACTGCTAAAAATAAATAAAAACACTATCATGTCCAAAGAAAAAAAAAATAATCATCAGCTCTTACTTGCCTAATCTCTTTTTGTCAACACTAAATAAACCATCACACAACATTTAACATAACTCTTTTTCCTAATGTAAAGAGCTTGAAGGAGTGAAGGAAGGCGATGAGGAAGAGAGATTAAAGCAGATCAGACATTCCCAGTAATCAGAAATCTCTCCCTAACACCTCCTCTCACAGCTCACTGCTGCCTCCTCCTGCCATGGGATGAGGGATGCTGAGACACCCTGAGTAACTCGAGCTTCTCTTGCCTATTCCTGGATGCAGAACTAGCTGTGTGGCCTGACAAGCACACAAGCATTGCAGTATGTCAATATATATAAAACATACATGTCACATGAAAAGTACCTGGAGCGGGGCACATACTAGTCAGCAGCCCCTCATTTTTCAATTCTACCTGCTCGAATAGTTAGGACCACGGATAAATACTTTGAGTATGAGAGTCCTCTGTTTCTCTTACTTTTGAGCTCTCACAGAAGCAGATAAGGCTTCCACCAAAGGTGCACCTTGCATGCAAAAGGGGGCTCTTCTGACAACTTGCAAACATCAAGAAGGAACATCACTCCTCTCTTCACACACATGAAGAAGCCATATCAAACATGCAGCAAGTCACTTATGACCATGTGGAACATAAAATTAATTACATGTTCAAAGACCACAGGAGTTTTCAAGTTTTTCTTTGATTTTTTCCTAAGAGTAAAGTTGTAAAGAACCAAAATTAGCATTTCCATCCCTGGAGGTTTTTGAGGAGAGGAGAGGCAAGTCCTGTCACAGACAAGTCTGACTGTTGGACAGGGTGATAGAATGGGTGATCTCTATTGGTCACCAGTCTTTCTTAAATGAAAAAAAAGCAATAGTAGATATTCACTGATTTTGCTTCTTTGCTCAAGCATTGAGGAGGAAAGGGAAATTTACAGTAGAGTCTAAATGTTTAGAAATACCACATGCCCAAACACCAAGTAATCCTTTACATTAGCACTAGGATCAACTCGTTTCTATTTTTATGCCATTTCTTCATTCAAATTCTACTCTTCTCTCTAGGATCAAATGCTACCCTTGCTTTCAGCAAAGACAGCTCAAGGTAAATTATTTGTCAGCATAGCATTGCTTTATTCTGTGATGAATATTTTTAATTGAGAAAACCATTAATAGGTTTGAGATAAGAGGTGCAAAATTAGGCAGTTGATCTTGACAATATGAATTATTTCAGATTTCAGCTAGACTTACTGTCTACACATCATAAACTCAAAGACTCACTGAGTAGGCCAAAAAAGTCCTGCCAGTCACCAGATTGCCCTGTGGACACTCTCTCCTCTAGTGCTTGCCCTTTCAATACAGACCTTTTCTTCTCCCCTATTGGCAACATCTTTTAATGCAGTAATTCCTAAATCCAAGGAGAAAGTACTGTGAAAGAGATGCTTCCTTAGGTTTCCCATGCTCCCTTCCTACTAGATTCACTGAAATCCCAGTACATGCCGAATTCCCCATTTTTCACCATCTCTGTAAGAACAGAGGACAAACTTGTGCTAGAACACACAACTTCTGAAGAAATGACTCTGCTGCCACCCAGTGCCCTACATGCCATCCAACATCCTCAAGAAAACAAGCAGTTTATATGCAACCAGATAGCAACAACCTTTTTGTGTTTCTTTTTGGAACAAACTTGTGTTGGATGGACTCAATCAGTTCAGTGAAGTGTTGTATGGGGTTATGTGCCCTCTCTTAAGCATAGCTGGGAATGAAAGAGAAGGGTGAGGGAAGGGCTTTTTACATAGGAAAACTGGCCACTATCGCCTTTTGGAGAAGGCAGAGCCTCTACCAAGGTCCCCTCCAGACAGATCCATCACTAATTTACCTGTTTAGGGTCAACAGTAGCAGCTGGGGACTCCAGTTCAATTGTTACAGGACCATCGTTCTGGATGTGGACCTGCATGTAGGCACCAAACTTGCCATCTGAAAAGAGACAAAACCGGAAGCACTGAGGGTTCTGCAAAGCTTTTAGAAAAATATATAAAAGGCTACCCAAATAAAAAACTGCACAAAGTTACTATGGAGGGAAGGAAAAAAAAACCCCAACTTTCAAAGCTTGTTTCTCTTCGTGCAAGCATCCTTGTTCTTTGCTCTAGTCCAACTTTCTGCCCCTTGAATTCACCCCCTCCCTGGCTGAGTCCATGTGATTGCTCATTCCACATATCCTGCTCTCCTACCCAATAGGTACATCTCCCGTTTCCACACCTTCCCTTTGGAGACAGGAACAACACTGCATAACAGATACCAAAGTATGAAAGAAGAAAAGGAACGTGGCAGCAAGCAGACAGCAGTGATCCGCAGACTGGAGCAGTCTCGTTCATTGGAAATGTGGGCTCTGCAACAGAACCAGACCTCCTCCAGTACTGCCTGGGACAGTGAGCAAGAACAAGCTGAAAATAGAAGACTCAAACTTAAGAGGAGCCACTGGGGATATTTGCACTGGACTTTGTATAGTCAAATGGCAGCTTTATCACAGAATGGTTGAGGTTGGAAGGTCCTATAGAGATCATCTAGTCCAATCCCTCCAGCAGGAAAGCTAGAGCACGTGGCACAGGGTCACATCCAGGCAGGTTTGGAAGATCTCCAGAGAAGGAGACTCCACAGCCTCTCTGGGCAGCCTGTTCCAGGGCTCTGTCACCCTCACAGCAAAGTTGTTCTTCCTCACATGGAGGTGGAACTTCCTGTGTTTCAACTTGTACCCATTACCCCTTGTCCTACCACCAACCACCACCGAGAAGAGTTTGGCCCTATCTACTTTACATTCTCCCCTCGCTTACTTAGGCATATTGATCAGATCCCCTCTCCGTCTTCTCTTCTCTAGGCTAAACAGGCCCAGCTCACTTAGTCTGTCCCCACATAAGAGATGCTCTGGTCCCTTAATCATCTTTGTCGCTCTACGCTGGACCCTCTCCAGAAGCTCCACGTCCCTCTGGTCCTGGGGAGCCCAGGACTACATCCAGTATCCCAGGTGCAACCTCACCAGAGCTGGTGACTTGCTGGCCACGCTCCTCCTGATGCAGCCAGGAACGTATTGGCCTTCTTGGCCACGAGGGCACATTGCTGCCTCATGGTTAACCTGTTGTCAACCAGGACTCCCAGATCCCTCTCCATGGAGCTACTTACCAGCAGGTCAACCCCTAATCTGTACTTGTGCCTGGGGCTATTCCTGCCCAGGTCCAGGACCCTGCACTTGTCCTTGTTGAACCTCATGAGGTTCCTCTCTGCCCAACTCTCCAACCTGTCTAGGTCCCTGTGAATATGAGTTCATGTGGCAACATGTGATATGTCTGAGAGAACAGAGGTCAAACCAACAGTTTTTCCCCAGGAACATGTTCACGAAGAACAAAAACTCCCCTAAAAGAGGCTTTGGTTTCTCTCCAGCATGTTCCACGCTGTGTTTACTATCCAACTGCTTTTCAAGGATTGCACACCACAGGCCACCACGGGAGCAAGAGCTACCAGCTCTGGCAGAGCCAAATACTGCAGCACTGCAGAAGAGACTGCTAGCAATGGTCCAGCAGTCAAGGAAAAGGAAGATGATGCCAGCAGGATGGGAAAACATCTTCCTACCTACCAGCTCCACCGTGGGAAGTAGACTCTGGCAGGGAGGGGACCACCAAGGCTACGGAGATGTCAAAGAAAGGCACATCAGGAGGCTGTCGGAGTTGTCAGGTGTAGTGAAGCTGGTGCTCTCTGGTGAGACAGATGCACCTGGCTCCAAAATGATGTGCCAAATTTTTCTTAAAATAAAAACTAACAGTTTTCCCCAGGAGCTGTCAACAGATGCAGCTTTTCTAAGCAGTATCAGACTTGACTTACCATTCGCACAGAGACACCAAGACACTATCACTATTCTGTGAAAGGTTCAATATATTCTGATTACTAGCTAACAGTGCAGATGAAAAAGAGCGTTACTAAACAGCAGAAAATAACAGAAAGTTTAGGAGACAAAAATGATGTAAAGCAGGCAAGATTCCAAGGTGGAGCAGAAAATTTGATAAACTAAGATATAATGGAAATAGTATTTAAAAGTAGAAGTGTTTGTTAGTGCTGTCCTCTATACCCAATTCCTCTTCTAAAAGAGAGAAAGATCTCAGTGCCTTGGGACTCCATGACATGAAAGGCAGGGTACAAGGCAGATTACACTGCCTGTGATCGCAAATTCTGAAACTGTGATGCAGACAAATCTCTCCTGTGCACAGAAACTGAGGAGTCAATCTCTTCCACATGTTTGTCCCAAAGCCAAATTAACACCGCCTGGATTGATTTTCATTTTTTTAAGTCAGAAGAGGAGAAAGAATCCACACTACTAGAAACAAGGGGAAACGCACCAGGTCCTTGCACACTGCCACATGCCAACGGCACCTTTGCCATGTGGACTGACAGAAATGCACAGAACAAGGGAAGAGCAAGGAGGAGCGCATGCAGACGAGGCCCTTCGTTGCATCAAGGGCCTTACCCTCCACCCTTACCTTTAATAAGCTCTGGCTTGTAGGCCTTTCTTAGCTGCTCTAGGAAGTTGTTGTAAAAACACTCCGCCTGCTCTGTGGGCATCGCCATGTGGTAGTCAGGCTTGTTTCCTTTCAGGATGCACTGGAGAGTAAACTGGCTGACACACAACACTTCGTACTGCTTATCCATCACACTTTTGGACCAGTGCTTCCCACTTTCATCTTCAAACACTCGTAAGTTTAAGATCTTTCGGACCCTAGGAGGAAAACAGATAGTATTAAATTGTCCTATGCCAGCGGATTGGGTACAAGTAATGCCTACCCCACAGAAAGAGCCAAAAGGGAAGGCAGATTCATAGTTATTCTGCCTACAAATCTGAAGATAACTCATTCTTTCACAAAGAAATCTCCTTGCATTAGGCAGTTATAAGCAAGAAAGCTCTTATGCACACACATAACATCGTCAGACAATTCATTAAGGTCTTCTTTTAAGCATTTTTTTTAATAAAGCATGAAATCAGTATAGAATGACATAGCTGTGGTTTAGAGGCTGACATAAGAATAGTAGAAGTAATAAGGAAGCTTACTCTTTACTTCCAGATTTGATGTGTCACAACATTATATAAGACGGGTATTAGCTTTAGGGATTGAAATCATCCCTTAGCACTGGCAAATCCCACTCAGTTTTGAACCGAGACTGGTCTGAACTGTGCTTCTTTCTGACCACCACTCCTGCACACTCCTCCAGCTCTGTCACTCCTGGTGCTCTCCCAAATGAGACCCCACAACCCAGACACAGGAAGCATTTCTTTCCCAGAAGAAGTGCGGGGAAAGCAGGGAAGAGTGCAGATCCACAGGTGGCATCAAAGAGGTGACCAGAAGCTGTCATGGAGATTTTTATTAGGACTAATCTTTGGAAGCAGGGGAGGGGGGCAGAAATGACTGGCTTGAATTCAAGAAAGGACAAGGACAAGAAGACTTTCACAAATGGATCCCAAAAAAGCAGACTTGCAAACCAGTCTATGGTTGGGCTTGGATCCATAACAACACTGCACGCCTACCACTCTCCAGTCTTTGGTTTCTTCTTTTAGTTTCTCCTCCGCATCTGCGGCATCTAGAAACAACGGAGCGTATCAAGGGCAAAGCATTTCAACTGCAGCCATCAGCCAGACATTTTATGTTGCACCAGGGATGAGGCAGTTTGCATAAAATACAGCTGAGACTTTGTTATGGTCTGGCTTAAGGCTTTACCGCACCAGGGATGAGGCAGTTTGCATAAATACAGCTGAGACTGTTACGGTCTGGCTTAAGGCTTTACTGTCACTAAGGCACAGTCACCAAAACCATCCTCACCAATTCACGCATGTCAAAGAAATAGAAGTGACTCCTGAATGAAGTGGAGCCTTGTGAATCGTGGCATGTACACCAAAACCATCATTACTCCTGTGATTTAATAATAAAAAATGGCATCAACCTTGTTTCACTTTCAGGACCACTAAAGGTTCATGCAAAAAGCACCTGAAGAGCCTGCTTAGACCGATTTCTTGTTATTCCATTTTTTTTTCTCCCTTCTGTTTCACAATTCCTAGCAGAGTTTAAATTAGTAAGTCTCCTGTTATTAAGACATGAGCTTCCTGTCTTTCCTGTGTCAATCATCCTAGCAGTCTGGTGCTGACAGTACAAGAGTTACTGATCACCCACTTGTAATCAGCAGCAGCAGCTTTCACACTCATCCAGGCAGGAAGAAGAAATTATGGTAAAGCAAATGTTACACACTTGAACACAAAACAGGACAGCAAGCCAGCAGAGAGTGTTGTATGAAAAACAGCCCCAGATTTGCTGCCATTTTCCACAAGTTTTAGCTGTTCATATGAGACCTACAGCTGGACCTAGAGTTTAGGTCCCCACTCACTACTTTCTCTTCCAATTTCCACCAGAAATTGTTTTCACCCTCGGTCACATTCTTCTCTCTTCCCTCCTCAAGCTGTTTCTCTTATTGACACAGTTTAGCTCCGTTAGTTGTTCCTTCCTAAAAACTGACATCAGTCCCAGCACAACCAACAGCCAAAAGGAGAAGGGACAATCACAGAGGGGATCTTTCTCTTGAACATGTTTCCTGGCTGAATCATGGCATTTTGTGGCCAAGAAAGGGATGGCCAAAGTTCCGGACCCCCAAAACTGGTTCATCTTTAGAGAAAAGCAAACAATGTGATTATCCAGCTTTTCAGAAGCAGAAATATTTTCATGTGTGAACTAAACCAATGGTGTGAGGTTTCCAAGATACCATGTACTAGATGGGAGGATTCCTGCTAAGCCTCTTATAAAGCTAAGGAGGACTCTTAGTAAAAGGGGCAGGCATTTTTAAAAAGAGCATCAGTAAAACCTCAACACATTGATTCTCCTCTTGGCAAGAACAACACAGAAAGGAGTGTGAAGGAGGAAAGGAGAAGAGATTTTCTTAGTAGGACATAAAAAGAAACCTCTAAGATGTTGGCATTCAAAGTATCATCTGAAGAGGACTTCAGAAGAGGCAAACACAGTTTTCCCCACATAAGGAACGGGGCAAACACAGCTTTCCCCTCCACTACTTTGGCTACAGCTCAGGTATCACCAATTCAGTGTTCAAAAAGCATAAATAAGGAGAGGCAAAGGGAAAAAGATAAATAAGAGGCAAAAGGAAATGCATGACTTACATGTGCTCCAGCTCCCTCTGCGTATCTTCCAAGGAGATGCCCAGCAGCACACAGAGCCCTCGTCCTATGGAGCTTATTTGTTCACCACCCACTGAGGAAGGTGAAAACAAAACAAGTAAGAAAAAGCAAACAGAGGCGACCGCCTCGTTAAAGGCCACGGCTAAGGAGTGATTCCAGACAGCATCAAAGCCCAACCCAAACCTTTCCTCTGTATCTTAAGGTAGCTTTAAGAGGCCTTCAGGGTGAGATCCGTTAAACCTGCACCCAGGTTCATGTTGGCGGGGCCGGGGAGGGAAGAATTCAAAGAGGCCCAAAATCCCGCAGAAGGAGGGAGCGCAGCAGGCCTCGGCGCACCGCGAAGCCGGGGGGAGGGTTCCAGGCGCCCGCCCCGCTGCCCGCCGCCCCCTCGGGCCCTTCAGGGCGGCACCAGGGCGCGTTCCGGGGGCCGCTCCGCGAGGGGCAGCCCCGGGGCTGGAGGAGGAGGGAGCGGGATGGGGGGGGTCCGGCCCGGG